GCGATGATATCTTCATTTCTTTAATTTAATTTTGTAATTTTTGGTAACAAATTATATTTTCGACTTCTCCTTGAAAACTGTTAGTCTAATTGCTTTGATATTGTATATGTAGGTACATCTGGTGGACCTCTGTCAGATTTGTTGATTTTGTGACAATATCTTCAATTCTCTAATTTTGATGAATATTTCTGTAATTTTTGGTAAAAAAATTATATTTTTGACTTCTTGAAAACTGCTAATCCGATTGCTTTGTAACTTTATTTGTAGGTACCTGGGGTTAATCTCTGTCAGATTTGGGAATTTCATGACGATATCTTCAAATTCTCATTTTAGTGAATATTTGTGTCTTTCTTTGATACTTGTACACATGCAGCTTTGGTAGACGTCTATTAGATTTGTCCATTGCGTAAAGATATCTTCCATTCTCTACTTTTAGTGAAATATTCTCTACAACAAAATCAAGAAATTGGTGTCTTGCATATTAAAGCAGCTAGCATTAAATTTAAATTGCTTCTTAGTCATTGCTTTCAGAGCATTGCATCACAAACAGTGGAGTTATATCAGCCAATAGGCTGCTTCTTAATATTGATAAAAGTTATTCAGATGCTGTTGAAAAAAAACTTGTCATTGAGCAGTGTGAACAAATTTTAATAACTATTAAAAACATTTCAAAAATGGAGATTTATTCCAATATGATAATAGCTTTCCATTAAGTACAACATATTCCCATAATGCATTGCACATATGTGCAGTTAATTGATCAGTATATTTCAATTCGACTCCAGCATCCTTAAATTATCAATTCACCAGCAGTTGTATCAGCCAGAATTTAAACGTTTACAGTAAATACTGTATAGATCAACAACAAATTAAAAACATTTTATATTCAACCTTCCAGGACTCAATTCCAGTGCGAGTAAAGGCAATACATTTCATAAACGAGTCGCGTCTTCTTGACGTCGTCTTGGCAATGATCAAACCATTCATGAAGAAAAAAGTCAAAGAAAGGGTAGGTGTTAAACAACTTTTGACAGAATTATAATAGCAAAGTGAATTTGTTCGTACCACTTCACACAGTGGATACACAATTCATAATCTGATCAAATTCCACATAAAACATTTCCAGTATGTACAGTGTTATAATTATGGTATATTGTGTTACCAAAACATACTATGTACAATGCACCTGTGATTGTGGGTTCCTTTACACCCTAATTTATATTCAAATATTCAAACAGTGGTAGTACTTAAGTAATATAATTAATTGATGTTTAATAGTACGATTTACAAATAATATAAACACCATGCATCACCAGCGCAGAACACATTATATACACAACATTGAAATATTTATTTTATTCTATTTCAATCAACACTTGAGCATATTTAAAAAAAATCTGTTGACCAATCATAGTTTTAAACTTATAAGACACATTTGTGTATATACCCCCGGTAGTTTTGTGTTCTGCTGTCAGCCATTTTAAAAAAAAAATTGAATTAATAAATGATTTATTTCGATTCATAGTATACACATCAAGGAACTCTCATTGAGGTGAGGCGAAGGAATTCCCTTGATGTTAAGAAAAGTGTTGCAATTATCCACAATTTAGTGTATATATACTCTATTTTCCCTGTTGAAAACAAACTGCAATAGAAGCACATGTAAACCACAAATTTGTTGAATAATTAATCATTAAAATTGTACTTATTTTGATCACGGAACCACCTCTGTAGTTTACGTAAATGTGTGTGTTAATACTAGAGCTAATTACAGTTTTGTTATAAACCTGATATTTACGTTTACTTCCTCAGATTCACACACATGCACATGACTTATCAAGCCTACATGCAAAAGTGCCGGCAATGATTTTACCATGCGAGTATGGAGGACTGACTTCATCTAGAGACGACTTGATACAAATGGTGGTTGCCAAAGCCCTGGCACATGAAGAAGTAATCAAAGAATTTACAAAATATGGAATTAAAAAGGTTAAAAACAGTGATGGGAGTGTAGCTGGGAATGGTGGGGTGTCTGTGAGTGAACCTTGATGCGTTTGTTATCTTTCTGTTGGTGTTTCGGTGTACCATACTGTAAAATACTTTTATTTTAGCTGGAATTAATTCTCGCTGATGGGATGTTTTGTATGGAATTTATTTTTCACTGATTTCAGACGAGTTGAATGTAAAATATTGCTGTATACTCGCTGGATTTTATTTTCACTCAATCATTCCTTCAGTGAAAATTAATTCCAAGCAAAAAAAAAGTATTTTACAGTACCTGGTACTATACTCAGCCATTAAGTTTGACATATCTTTTATTATTCATTTCTGTATGACAGTGACACGTTTTTAGTAAAGGATTTGATAGCATGTCCATTATATTAGTTGGTCCTAGGAAAAAATCCGTGCATTAGTTCGAAATGCATGCTCGTGTCACTGCTTTTTAAAAAGTTTTTATCAAAATTTTTCAATTTTTATTTTATAAAGATTTAACAATAGAATATATGTACCAGTATATATTTCAGAGAAATTGACCAGAAACTTAATTTTGCATATGTGTGTGTTAGGATTTGGGTGCATTGCAGTGTCCAGTAACACCTAATTTACAAAATGTACAATTTTTTTTTAAAACAAGGGAATTATGTCAAATTATCGAAATTTTTTGAGTGCAATATAAAATGATAATTGAATTTCATTTTGAATCTGCATAATATAATGAACTTACCACATTGCCAAATAGAGTGTTGCTTACAATATACTCCATTTGAGAGTTAATACTGGCAAGCACACTTGAAAACACACATTGGATATGTGCTGGTGTTGGTTATTATGTGCTATGTTTGTTTTTATTATGTCAGTGTTGGTTATGTGCTATGCAGTCTATGTGCTCACGATATGTTCTTGGCATATTGTGCACTTATGTTTCTTGTGTGCTATGTTTTCTATGTGGTTTTCTATTTGCTAGAATTATGTGCTATATTTTCTATGTGCTCGTGTTATGTTTTCTATTTGATATGTTTTCTATTTGCTAGAATTATGTGCTAGTGTTATGTGCAATGTTTGCTGTGTGCCATGTGTTCTATGTCCCAGTGTTATGTGCTATGTTTGCAATGTTATGTGGTATGTTTTATATGTGCTAGTGTTATGTGCTATATTGTTTTCTATGTGGTATGTTTGCTGTGTGCTATTGTTATGTGCTATGTTTTCTAAGTTAATTTGTGCTAGTGTTACGTGCTATGTTTGCAATTTTAGGTGTGTAGTGATATAATACTGTGATGCTATGTTTGTAATGTGCTATATTTGTTATGTGCTATGTTTGTATTATGTTTTCTATTTGATATGTTTTATATTTGCTAGAATTATGTGCTAGTGTTATGTGCAATATTTGCTGTGTGCCTTGTGTTCTATATGCTTGTGTTATGTGCTATATTTACAATGTTAGATGTGTGTAGTTATATAATACTATGATGTTTGTGGGTATGGTTATTCACAGTAACGTTGTGTATCCTTTGGCCGAAGAATACAATTTAGCATGAATACACCACATCACAGTTGAAAATAACCACATTACCCCACAAATGTCATGGCGATTTATGTAACTTATTTTAAATTCTGTCAAATGATTGGTTTATTCGGTGTTTCATTTTACATATCAATCAATCAAATATTTATTTTATCTAATAATGTACACTTGTAATTTACAAAACAAATTAAAACAGGTAAAATAGGAACCAGAAATAGCCAATGGCTAATCTAGTCTGATTTCTCAGAAACAAATGAATTACACTGTCTTAGAGGGTGATTTATAATAACCTAAAACTATATATATAAATGAAGCAGATAATTTTAATAATAATACTAATAACAATAATAATAATAATAATAATAATGATTATTGAATTAATGTTTCTTTCATTTTTAACTTAATAATTTCCTTGATGTATATGTATTCCTTGATGTATATGTAAATGTTTGCAGATGAATTCTTGTTACTTTTTTCAATGTTGAGTTAACAACCAACAGCGAACAGAGTGAAATTACTGAATTTTAAATATAATTCCTAGAATAAATGTTACCTTCAACATGCCCGAGACTCGGCATCCACTGAGAGAGAGCATCTTTGCCAATCAGGCAATTTTCAAACTTTTCCGTTCATTTTGATTAAGACTCACGGCAGCACATAAGCTGATCTACACAGAAACAACTCATTGATTTATTCCTGAGTTTTTGGAGAAAACAAACATGTAACTTTCCTAGTAGAGTGACTGTGCTTTAACAGAGGTAACCTTGTATTTTCTATGTGCTGTGCACCGCCAGCCTAAATTTGCATAGTTTGATGTGACAAATTAGCATAGTTGTTTCAATGCTTTTGTTGATCTTCTTTGTGCAAGGATGTGACTTTGGAGGTTTTATTATTCAAATATGCATATATATACAAATGGAGTGTCAAAATACTTGGTGGCAATTCGAATTATGCATCAAATTCCATGAAAATTCAACTTTAGAATGAATTATTTTATCTCATTGGCATATTTTTACAGTAAACTTTAACATTATTGAACAAGCTTGTAGCTACAAATACCTCAGTATGTTATAATAATCAGTACTCTCACCTTGAAAGAATATTGTATTTGTCTTTGCACATTGACCATTTTTGTATTGGGCAATACATGTATGTACCCATTATATGTCACTTTTATGTCAAATGAAACATGGCTGCTTGCTTTGTGAAAGTGATTTTGCTATTATTTACCGATCCAACTCACAATCCACATTCGATTGTAAATTTTAAAGAACGGTGGTCATCACGTCAAGCAACCGTCTGATACAAGTCCAATTTGTATGTTTATCGCAATGCACATTCACAGAAATAATTTTGCGAGTTGCACATACTATAGTACAAGAATGGAGGTTTATATTAGGTAGGCATTTTGCTGTATGTCCCTTAATAGCCGTAAGCACTGTATTAATTTCGCTCAGATACATACACCAGTGCGTCAAATTGGAATTGGCTTGTTGGACGGCTGGGGAGGTCATTCATAAAATTGTAGGTGACTTGAGACGCAAACAAAATATTGTGGCCCGGCCCTGATTTTTTTGTATTTACACTTATTTTGATTATGAAATGTGAATTTTATTTTACCAAATTACAAATTCATAGCTGTATTAAAAAGATCACTATTTCTGTTGTGTCAATGATGGGCCTGTGAATTAGCACAGCTAGTTGTGTCATAGCAAATATTGTGCATAAGTGTCCCATTATATCGGCTTGTCACACTGATGCACACATATTTTCAATCATATTTTATTGTCAGTAGAGTGCTGTGGATTGTGGGAAAATCAATGTTTTTATCAATGCAATCACCACTGCCTTTCAGGGTCTTTGTGTTATCTAAGTGAAAGCAAGTAATGAGAGTGTTGATTTAAATTCTTTGCAGTTTACAACCTGTTGATGAGCATGCTTATGATAACATTGTTTGTTTACGAGGGAAAATTCATTCTTGTCATTGTTTAAACTTTCAGGGTGGTCATTAATTCAGGGTGCTTATTTAGTGTTAATTTCATGTGCAGGACTTAAATGAATACACCAAGCAGCATTAAATTTACATACTGTCTTCAATTGACGGCATATTTTAATTGTCATATTACAGTGTAAATCAAAAAAAGGACACTTGTCCTTGTATAGAGCAGGTAACCACATGAGAGTGGTGTTTAACAAGTTCTGATTACTAATACTGGAGATTTCGTTAAATAATTTGTGAAGTAAAAACTTCAAATAAATTAAGAAGTATTTGTTTTTATCAATTATACATAGTGCATGTTTTCTAGGTAGGTGTAGATAAATCAGGGGAACGCAAGTTCAAATACTGCGTTATTGACGTTTGCTGATAAATCAAAATTATTTATACATTTTAACGCTTAGTGTATAATGATGTAAATATACTGTAAATTTATCAAGATGTTTTTATCTGAGACAGTAATAAAATTTGATTTATTATACAATATACTGTAATGTTCCTTTGATTGTGACAGTTTGTCAAGTCATATTGAGACTGAATCTGTGAACAAATTTCAGTGATGAAAATTGAATTCCAAATAAGTTGAATGCTTATTGTAAATTCTGAGCTCACTAAAATCTATGCTATACTATTAAAAATATTGCGTGGAAACAGTTGTATGTGATTTATGTGATCTACCAATTCAGTTAACTAAAAATGGTCACTGTGGTGTGATTGGGATACCAATGTTTGTGTTTTTAGAGTTAAATTAAATTAAATAGAGACAAATTTTATATTTCTGGGCTGGTGAGCAATGTATTCCAGACGATTTCAGTGACTGGGTGTTTTGGTTGGCTGCAAATCCATCTTTCAAAGTCTGTTCAGTTTGGCAATTTAATCTTCACTTGTGGATTATCAAAACTCTTTGTGTTGAGTATATCGCCCTCTACATATCTACACTGTGCCTTTCGTTTTTATATATTTGTTCAAATTGTAACTTCGCTCTGATGTACGTCTTTTTGTCAGTCCGTATGTACGTGTGTCTGTGTCAAAACTTTTTCCCCTATTATCTCGAGAACCACTGGCTTGATTGAGATAAAACGCAGCTACTATATCATGAAAACCAGGCCTGATAATATTTTGTTGCAAATCTGCGCATCTTAAAGCGGAGGTGTTGTCACCTGCGCATGCGCGGGAATTGAGTCCCTAGCGACGATAACAACGTACGCTAAAACGCAAAGGCTCATGGGTAGACGCTTGTTTGTAAACAACGACACGCTATGGCCGTTTGCCGCATTCGCAGGTGACGAGTCCCCTGCATTAAAGTAGGTGATTTGCATCCTAATGAATAAGTTTTAGCATGTTTACTATGTATCCTTGCACATGCACAAATGCATTGAAACTTGGTACACGATTTCTGTGTATGTAAATCGATATTTAATATCAACTTCTAATTAATATGTGCATATTAATTAGCTAATTTATGTACTAAGTAATTGATTATTCTGTATCATAACAATGGTTTGCTCCAATGGG